AATGATGTCAGATATGGTCACTCACTGCAGCGTTCGCGCGACACAATTCGCAGAAAGCGATCTGGACTTCTCTCAACAAGCATTCTGTTGCTGCATGGCAATCTACGTCCACACCACGTTTGTTGCGGCCTTTCTGGTGGGGAGTTCTCGACTATTCTCTCTGCGCTTCGAACCTCGTGCTCAAAGATTTTCATTTTTTCGGGTTATTCGGAAGAACTGGGGAGCAATTCAAAATTGACGTGGAAGTACAGTAAGTCGTCCGGAAATGATTTCACAACTTGACCCTGTCTTCATCAATTCCTTGGTCTCCCAAGAAACGAATATTTGGACAAGCAAGATGTCATTATTGAAAAATAATAATAGCTTGTGCTTTTCCAACATATACGAGTAGTGCATGAATGTGAAGAATAAATTGTGTCTGTGAGAGTTCTAATTATTTTATTTTTTGATTCCCATTCGAATGAACGACAACAATAAGAACAAATGATAGCTTGCAATAAATTCTTCACCATGTGCTCGTACGAAAAATCTTAAGTGAAAATAAAAATCATACGTGCAGTGATAAACGAGTAAACGGGAAAATGTGACAACGTGAAGAGCGTGCGTATGTGAATAAAATATGTGCGTGTGAATATGTTGAACAAAACATCAAATCACTACGAACGCATTTTATTTCAATGCTTTAGTTGACATTCAACAATCTCACATAAAAGAGATTACTGAAATTTACATTAATAATGCATTGAATTATATGTGTAAACACCTGCTACATACCAATTTAGCTGATTAATTCAAGTTGTCGTAACCCAAATACAATGTAATCAAAACTGGCAATTCAATGTAATATACTTCACAGCACAATAAAAGTATGCTTTATACTTAAATGTAGAATTTATCAACTAAACTACAGAATATTCAAATACAAATCTTCGACTAGTTATCGTAAATATATTGATGGATTATGTAAATCGTTTTTCCTTCAATAGAAGTAAATATTGGAAATGACAAGATAGTAAACCCTTTACACGAACACGCCTCATTGCAATGCAACATTGAATCATTTTGCAAATGTGATAATGTACTTGTCGTAAATGTAAACTTAGTTCCAATGCCTCACCTATCCCTAATTTCTTAGAGCATTCGTTAATAATTCTTCTTGCCTATGTAAATAAATTTTTGTTTGTACAATCTATTAAATACATTAAAAACTCCTAAACACCAGCTTATGAAAATTATACAGAGAATATATTATATCTGTCTCTAAAGTTGGAGCATCAGAAATAATTTTAAGAACAGACTCCAAAAACCCAGCTGTCATGCTATGAGTGCGGATGAGTGCAGCACAGTAGGAAAGAAAATTTCCAATTTAAGTGCACGTTTGGAAACTTACTTGCAGAGAGAACGTCAGCAGAATACGAGGCTCCAATATACCAATTGATGCATACATCAGAATTATGTTTACAATATTCTCTTTCCTACGATGTTTTCATCCGCACTCTGTTCTGCAACATGAAAATGCTAAATATCACGAAAAGCTTAATATCTTCGGGGATTCTTATCCTATCCAATACACCAGAAGAACGTAAAAAATTGAGAGTGATAGGAGAAACGTTGAGAGGTATAAGTTTAGTGGAAAATGAGATACTATCAGTGTTTAGTAAAAAAAACTAGAACGAATTTAGATATATGTAGTAAAAAAACAATAAAAACTGTATATGACGTATGGGCGAGAAGAGCATCTGCGCACGTTTTCGTGAGTTCCAGAATCCCTTCCCGTCATTTGAACTATAAATAGTTGGAAGATGAGTAAAAGTTGAAAATAAATAAATAAAAATAAATTTTAAAAATGCACAAGATTACCAATATTTTAAAAAATAGACATTTTTGTTTCCGAGTTATAGAAAACTTATTTGCATTGATAAAGGAATTGCAAGTATGATTTTTCTGCATTGCTAACAAAATAGCAACTCGCCCATACCTCTACTCTTACCATTACAAGCAAAAGGAGAGTTCAACAAAACGTGCGTATATTGAAGCTATATTTACGCCCAGAAGCAAAACTAGGGACCATCTCGGCATTTGCTCAATAGATCAGAGAAACTGGACAAAAACCTGATTGAGAACGAAAGAAGTGGAACCAAGTAGATTTCGAATATACAGCTCAACTGTGGATGAGGCTGAATTAACTATGCCTCGCTCGTGGCATGAGCCATGCTTCCATCGTCTTTTTATCTAAGGAGTTGTGTGTTATTAACCATTTCTCCCACACTTCTCAATTATGACATGTGGCATTACAAACATTATCAGAAGTCCATATAGTCTAAATTATCGGGTTTTCGTGTGGCGGACGAAATACCAGAGAATTAGCAAGAAGCAGTGTTGGTATAAAAGAGGTATAGGGCTTTCTCCCATTTGTAATGGCAAACCTCCTCAATGGTTCGTTAAGAAACTTCCTTATAATTGATTATTTATTAATAACAAGGTTGATCGTTTTCAAGAAAATAATATACTGGTTTTTAACTGTACAGCAAGAAATACGGAGATGACAAAGATCTGAGAGAAAGGTAGTAAAATTGATTGCAGAGTCCCTTCTCCAGAATCAGTAAAAACTAATAAATGGAGAAAATTGTGATAATACGTAGTTGAAAAGTAAATTCAGGTCATTGTTATCAACATAAATTCGTTAATAACGTCCAGCTTCCGTCTGCTTTGCCGTCATCAGTCTATTAAAACAGGAAAAGGACGGTATAAATGATAAATAAATACGTTCATATATAAATCAAATGCTCATCTACAAAAGAGAGAGAAGGTGAGCCGTTACGTGCAAGAAGGTGGCGAGAGCCCGGACACACGGCGCACGCAAAGAATTTCGAACGGTGTTGAGCGGTGAGAGTTGAAGCGAGAGTGAGAGTGGAGGAGTTTCATCTGAAAAGTTGCGGAAGGAGTCGGTCGCTGAGGTAGGGCTTGGAGACGTAGTAACCAGTGAGGACATGAAGGAGAATTTCAAATTGCTGATTCGATTCCAAAATGCAAAAATATTAAACGTATCCACTTTAAACAGAACAAAATATATGTTCCATTTATATGTCTTGGTCGGGAAAACTGGAGGGTTGAGACGCGTAGCAGAGTGTGATTTGAGTTGTTTTTTCCATGCACATATTATTTTATTCGGACTGTGTAAGAACATAGTCCTCTTCTATGGCAAACGTAGTCCAACACTGTGCGAAATCCTCTTTTTGCGCACGACACTTTGTATGTTTTGACACATCCGACCTCCTTGCGCGGTAAACGGCAGAACATTTTGTTTCTATCTGTTGCCCGGAGGTAAAAGGCACTATTTCAATGTTTTGCTAGAAATGTAATACTTCTCATACGTGTTTTAATTCCTTTGCACTTTTTGACGGTACTGAGTTCTATGACCAAAATACATTAATAACGAAATTGGAAGCAGTCAAAACAACACCATGTCTACTTTAATTTTCAGTACAAGAACATCTTTAAAATGACTTCCTGTAAAATTATATATATGAAGTAGTGTCCTTTACCTCCAAGGAAGAGATATTACATTTTATTTACTTATATTTATATTACCAATTTCCAATGCGCGCAGAATCTGAAAGAAAACTATGCCTCCAGCCTTTGGAGAGATGTCTTTAGTTTTGTTAGATACCCAGTAACTCGGAAAAAATTCCAAAAACTATGAAGCAGTTTTGATTTTAACCGAAAAATTCATATACTTTATTGCGTTATTTCCCATATTATCCTGCTGCGGACATTGACAGAATTATAATACTCTGTGCGTCACTGCTTACGATGCAGCTGCAGTCAAGAAAAAAGGTACCAAGGAATATCCCGCCGCCCTTAAATATTTGCTACTTAGATGCTGTGTTATGCTTTTTTTAACTTCTTGGAATGTAAAATCCTGTTGTACATATTCTAAGTGTTATTGCAATATTCGGGAAGACTGTTTTTGTTAAAATATTTAAGGCGCCGGTAGCTGAATTCTTAATCTCGCAACGGAAGTTCAGCATGTCTAATCACGGGAGTCCCTGGCTGGGTGACCGTCTGGGAAGCCCCAATACTAACGGCACTGAGCCCCTGGCCGGTAGGAACAAAAGACAGCGATTTGAGACTTGACGTATGGCCTACGAAGATCAAGGAGAATTATTCCACGTTCAATGTCAGGACATGGAAAATTGTTAAGAATTTGTTTACAATCTTGCTGCAGTGTAATACGAGAGTACTTTATTTGTTGTTCTTGGGCAGTGTGCGTGCTACGGTTTAGAAACCCATTTTGTGATTTTGGTCAACAGCATTTTTTCTGCTACAGGTCAGTAATATTAGCTAATTTATCATTCATATTATCATTCAATATTTTCTGTTATAATAAATATGATGACGACAAACCCGTCCAAATTCATTCAAATCTTAAAGATAGTTTCTATGAAACTTCTGAAATGTTCACTGTTTATCATATCGCTATTCGTCAATTTGAAACCATAAATATATTTTTCCTTGTCTGCGTTACAAGTTAAAAAAATAACGTCCTGATTTATTTCAAATTGGACAAATATTTTCTAGAAACCACAAGAATGTCAGTTACAAAATGTTGCAGATTTGTATGTTTATTTGTATGTGTTAACGTATGCGCAGGAGGGAACATAAGAGCAAATGACACGCAAAACTGAAATTTCAATTGTGACAAGAAGTTTAGGTCAGAATAGTCATAGATTATTTTCTTGACAAAAAATAGGTTGCTTTGTAAATCAGTGCTTTGTCGCAGAAACTCATTGTGCACGAATTATTTTCATGAATAGTTTGTCATTTCTGTAATGATATTTTCGTACACAATCAAATAACAATATATAATTCAATTAATTGATGATTCAAAGATCGAATCCTCTAAAGCGCGGGGTTTGTCTTTACGAACAAGGGTAAAAAGATTTGGCATAAGAAGCGGGTAAATTGAAGCTCGCTGAGCAGCTGGCGATATTCTTACTTCCGTCCTGACCCTGTTGCTGCTGCTGCTGTTGCTGTTGCTGTTGTTGCTGCTGCTGCTGCTGCTGCTGAGATTGTGCGCTTGATTTGCCTACCCATGGCTCCAAGGAATGTGAAAATTCACTCCTGTAATTGGTGCGAATTTGACTTGACTGAACAGGCCTGAAAAAATCCAAAATTTATTTATGATACATAGCTTTATATACATAAATGCCATACATAGTGTATTATTTTTCCTACCTAAGCAGTGGACGGAGTGCGTATCACGCACTATTTTTCTCTGGATAAAGTCGTCGAAGTCAGCGAAAGAAGAATGGGATTACAAACAATAAAGTGGCACCTGGGAAGTTAGGTCATCCACCATGCAATTCGGACAATTTTGGCGAGATTTTGTATCAGCATACTCTTCAGAGTATGCAGTAACCCGCATACTCTTAAGATGCTGATTAATCTCTAAACGCTAGACACAGTAGATTCATGGCGTCTCTGATTCGTTGTTTGGCAACATCTCTCAATGATGCATACCAACAAGCAAGGAGAGGGGCCAACGACGATTTTCTTCCTCTATCTTTGTTTAGGTAAGTAGTTACTGTTTCATCATGTAGGAGCTTTATTACTAGAACAGTGAACCCCATTGATAGCTTCGTCTTTCAACACTTCTCGGATGTTTACAAAAAAATCGAAACCGCCTAATAACATGTAAGTGAAACGGTACCACAGTGACCTAAGTTCAGTATAACCGAAGTCGACTGTGTGTAATATATATATATATATATTACAGTGACGTTTGGCGATATACAAGTAAATACGCCGCTGCCAGCGGCCGCGAGTCCGTAAGAAGTTAGTCAGTGGAAGTCAGTCAATGTAAGTCAGTGTATGTCAGTGGAAGTCAGTATAAGTAGTAGTCGGAAATAAGCAGCCGTGAATCAGTAGTGTATGTAATCAGTGAATAAGCAGTCAGTCCGTCAGTGTGTCTGAAGTGGAGCTGTGTTGTAAAGTGTGCATTGCGGTGAACAGTGGTGCAGTGGGTGAACAGCCGCCAGAAGTCTGAAGTCTGCAGTGGAATCTGAGCTGTGAAGTGTGCATCGCGGTAAACAGTAGTGCAGTGGACCCTGGTGTGCGCAGTGAAGTGTGGTCTGCGCAGGGAATTGTGGTCTGCGCAGGGAATTGTGGTCTGCGCAGGGAATTGTGATCTGCGCAGGGAATTATGGTTAGCGCAGGGAATTGTGGTCTGCGCTGTAAATTGTGGTCTGCGCAGGGACTTGTGGTCTGCGCAGGGAATTGTGGTCTGCGCAGGGAATTGTGGTGTGCGCAGAGAATTGTGGTCAGCGCAGTGGACCGTGGACAGTGCTTCGGACTGCAATATTGTAAAAGAAGTGAATTGTGTAAATAAATAATTAGATGACATGAACTGTGTAAATAAATAATTAGAAGAAGTGAACTGTGTAAATAAATAATCGAGAGAATGGAGTCGTGAGTAAAAAAAATAATTAAGTGAAGAGCACAAGTACTTTGTAAAATATTTGTAAACAGAGCAAGTAGTTTTAGTGTAGCAGTGTTTACGAATAAATGTTTTTGTTTAAATGAACTGTGTTGGTTTTAATTCACCAACGAGAAACTTTACATTATTTTATAAGCATTGTAATGTTATATCAGATATTTATGAATGTGTAACGTTAACTAATTTGTGCTTGAAATTATTGCCACAGAAGTTAATTTTGAATCAATGACATTTTTCTAATAGTAGGTGTGGTAGCCGGAGTAGGAAATTCTTGTTGAAAGACTAGACAGAGTAGCTCATTGTTTTTCTAAAGTAGAAGTGTAGTGAAGTGAACATTTTGTAAAAGGGTGCATGTTTGATATCTCATGTTCACCTGGTTTAAGATTATACAGTGATTGTTGATTTGATTTGTGTGGTCTGGAAGGGCCCTTCTCACACTCGAAAGATACCATGTCCTTGAGAAAGGCAAGCTATTCCAAGAGCACCGATGGCACCGCTCCAGGTATGTAGTAAATAGCATATATCAGGATGACGTACACTGTGTGATCAGGACGTATACTATGTGATCAAAAGTATCCAGACACGTCCAAAATGGTGTTATGGTGTGGTCGTATTTTTCATGGAGGGGCTTGCACCCCTTGTTGTTTTGTGTGGCGCTATCACGGCACAGGCGTACGTTGGCGATGTTTAAAACACCTTCTTGCTTCCCTCTGTGAAGAGCAATTCGGGGAAGGCAATTGCATCTTTCAGCATGATCGAGCACTTGTTCATACTGCACGGCCATTCCCCAAGAATCCTTCCAACACCTGATTGAAAGTATGCCTGCGAGAGTGGAAGCTGTCATCAGCTGGTGCCATAAGTCGATCAGGGCGACATCAGGCAGCTGGGGCCCTCCCCTTCCCCGATCTCTCCACTTGACGGGCGTGGTCGCACAAAGGTGGTCAATTAAACTTTCCTGAAAAGTAGGTCGTAGGCCTCTAGGGGGAAAATCGCTGAAAAATCCACTTACGAGAATCAATAGAAGCTTCTAGAAGTCGAAATAGCAAATCATAACATGCCACGCATCACACACGTGACTGAGCAAAGGCTCTTTGAAGGGGTGGAGAATAACAGCGAGGAAGCTACAGGCAGGGACGAAGTGACGAGAAACTTCACTAGATATGAGACGATCGACGTAAGCACTTGAGAGACAAGACTTGGCTTGAAAATTTCGTATCAAACAACATAGCTACAAACCCGAATACAACTAATTATGATGTTCGTATCAAACACTTGACGTAGAAACTTCGCTTAGCGTAAGCAGTTGAGAAACTCCTCTTCACATAAACACTTCGTGTTGGAGACTCAGTGACCGCACGGTGAGGGCAATCGTTCGGAATTGTATGACTGGTCAGTACTTGCTAGAGTGAATGGCCCGAGTATATATCAATTGTAAGTCGGAATTACTTCCGCCTTACAGACAAGTCAGGCCGACGTGTAATAGGCACTGCAGAGGTGTGTGGCATGCCATATCGATTGCAGAGACGCGGGGAGGTGGCGTTTGACGGCCTCAGCCGGCGCGCAGCGACAACCATCGCCACGAGAATGGTCTGGGGCTGCTGCCGGCGTAGCCCGCGAGACGAGGCTGCTTCTCTGCCGAGCGCTCGCGCCTATTCAAGAGCGGTGCTGGGGCTGCGACGCCCGGCCTGCACCAGGAACGGCCCGACGGACGGTAACGCCCGAACAATTATTATGGGAACTGTCCATATTCATAAACTGATCAATATTCCCGGTCTGAAAACTAATTAGACACTTACTGATCTTGCCGTTGTAACAACCAGTTCTATTTTAAATAAATGTGTCCCCGCCACTTCGATGGAATACACTTAAATTTAAACTCTAGTTTATTATTTCAAGTAGATTGTAAACAATTTGCATACCTTCGACCAAGAACAGCCCACCCTTGAGGCTCTCTACGTCGAAGCCAGATTATGGGCTTGTATCCGCTTGGCGCCCATTAATTAGCCCCAGTTCCAAGCGCACTCCGTGTGTGACGGTACCCCCATTGTGATGGCATATCACTGGGTTATTACAATAAATTACTTTTAATTTAATTGCGAAGTCTGGGACCAGCGGAGAGAGGGACCGCATTCTCTGGACCATGGACTTTAGCGACCTGACCGCCTGCCTACCAGCCTGCATAACCCCACCCTGCCACTGCCTTCCTGAACTGCCTCCCGAGTCGATCTCTCTGGATGCTTCACGTCCGTCAACATATGAAGACACAAAGGTTTACGCTCCAGTTATTGAGCTGTCAATGGATGTAACTGAGCATCAATAAACCAATCATACAAATTACGCAGCGTATGTCCTGTTCTGGTGCGCATGCTCCTTCCCCGTGTCGTCATGACAATATAACAAACATTCTTCATTGTACATTAAATTAAGTCGCGGTGGTTATACTAATAATCGCCGTATTAAGATGACGTTTTTTCTTTATAAAACGAAAATTAGATTTATTATTAAAGTAAATATTGTTAATTTTTCTAGCAAACTTTCACTATCTATTTTTACCAGTCTCAAATTTCAGTATTACAGAGACCATTCCAAAAAACATAAATTACTTTAAACTTCTCAAAATACGCTCGTGAAACGGATATACTTAAATTAAATGAAAATAGAAAGAAAAGCAAATTAAACTTACCTCAAAGGTTGACTCATTTGAGACACTGCGGCTAAACGGTCCATCATAGGATATGCCAAGTCCAAAAATTGATATTTATTGGCTGATGCAGAGAATGTAGAACAAAGCAGCAAATGTAACTGAAGAAGAGGCAGTACTGTACTCAGACTTATTAATTGGTTTCGGAACTGTCTTTCCTTCGTTTCAAATTGCCTGTAACACCAAAGAAACAACTTGGATAACAAATAGTGCTAGTCAGTTCACATGTAAAAAAATACCTTCATGTTCCTCTGAATAATGTCAGTGATAATACCTTTACTGTTTGTTCTTCAGAGCCTAAGAGCACAAAATATCTACGTATATTAAATTTTTAGGATTAGCCAACACTCCTCTCTTACTACAGGTATTTGCATTTTAGTGACTCTTAATCATAATATTCTCCAAAACATAAAGCTGGAAACCATTCAATTCCAGTCAAACAATTCAACAATGGTGTCTGCGGCTTGTGTGCCCGAACAATCGCATTCAGTGCCTGTTCAACATATTTCTTGAACGAGGTCAAACTATTGCAGGAAGAGTACGTCCGATTAGGAAGCAAGGGGATTTTAATTCTTATCTAAAACAATTTCAACTAAATATACAATTGTGTTCCCCAAAATAGTTCATTTGCAAATATTTACAACTGACAAAACAGACATTTTGTGAAATCAGATGGCAGCATCGATATTCTTAGCTTAGTTAAAAGGCGCGAACCCTGCCGAATAAAACTAATAGCAAACCCAACTCCTATGCCCGCCACTCTTCCTCATGCTTCCATTGCGGATGCACCTGCTACGGACGGCGAGATCGTCCCATTCGGAAAACTTGGAGCACACGAAATTAAATTCGTCCTCAAAACCTGCATTGGTGGAATGCACAAATTAAATACATCGATTTAGTGTAAGTTAAATACGTTCTGAAACTTTCCTCTCGTTTGATTTTTCTGGCAAAGAGCGCCGCTCATGAGTTCAAAAAGACCAGTGGCCACTGGTGGAACGTAGTACGTATTATCATGCAATACAGGTATCTATAATAACACACACATCGTACATTGTAGGAATCATATTCTTAGGTGTCAATAGCTCACACAAGAAATCCACATGTACGTTACTTCACAACCCGTTGCACTATATGCACGTGCTTTAAATGTAGAGTGCATGTACTTATTTAAAATGCTCAACCAGATGACACTGAACAATTAGAACAGATACAGAAATTTAAATGACAAGATTTTTTTGCTGCTTCAAAATTGCTTTTATATAATTAGAAATTATACTCAATATCTAAAACAAAAAATGATATTTATTTTAATAATATCGATGCATTTGTTGCCATTTGTACTATATAATCCTAAACAACTCAATTCGTTTGAGAAGAATAATTTTCTGAAACCCTGAATCAAAGATCAGGATCAGCTTTCTCGATCAGGTTGTACGTCGTTTCCCATTCAAAGCGGTTTTCGGCAACACATCCCACTGTGAACACTAACACCTACTCCTTACACAGAATTATCACCCAAACTGATGTTCCACGATAGATTTGGCTAATACTGTAGCACTTAGATCCTGAAACGGACATTTTAATTTTAGCGTACTATATAATAACCCCAACGACATTTTGAAAATGTTCTTAAAAGTGACTTCAAAAACGTTATTTAATTATTTTGCTTGAGTAGAGCAAAGTTTGCTAATAAAAGGGTCGCAGGTCGGATTTTCAGTAGTAATTTACAGTTATATTTTAAAATTGCAAATTTTAAATGGATATTTTAAAATTCTTTTCTCCGAAATTGTATTGCGAAAACTACAAGAGTATTTTCCGACCCACGTCCGCTTACGAGTATTTCCTGAATCACATATCGTCCACAAGCGTGGCACTACCCCAGCCAGGATAAGCTCTAAGCTTCCCATACGTGTGGTAGTGTAACACATGTGAGTATGTGTGAAAGTAAGAGGTGAGGAAAAGACAAAGAAGAGGAAGGAAATATCGCGCGCGGCTCGTTTACTAGGGTACTGATCCAGCATGCGCCTGGTGTTTATCGAAGAAATCACGGAAAACTACCGATCAGAGCAGCCGGCTGCTAGCATTCTCCTCTAGGCAGCAGCTGAACTGGAATTAACTAACAAGCTTGTGTCGAAACTTCTGCCACAGTCGGGATTCGAACACTAGGACCTCCCGGTCAGAAGCACTGCAGTGACATCAGTTGATGCCCTGAGCCACCTTTGCCATTTTACTTTATAAAAAATATTATTTTATAAAAGGTATGTAGATGATGTATTTTTATCATTAACAAAGATGGAAGTTCTTAATCTACTTGACGCACATAATTCGCTGATTTCGCGATTCCGTTTGCCATAGATAAGTCAGTTAATTCGCCGCTTAATGTCTTAGATCTTTCAATATCTTTGTAATCTCACAAAATTTCGACTAACTTGTTTAGAAAAAGTTGCTCTTCAGGTCGCACATTAAAATATTTTTCTGCTCATTCGATTCAACTCAAGAGAGGAGTTATTTCTTGTTTAGTTCGTGTCATTAACCTAGCAGATCCTTCATACCTTACAAAGAATTTATCCATAGTAACGAATATTGTGATATAAAACTATTATCCCGTGGAGTTTACTACGAAATCAATATAAAAAACCTGGCAATGTCGAATTTAAGCAATACTTCTCATTTCTTTGAACAATTGTTCTACTTCACCATGTTGATGCCTTATATTCCAAGATTCAAATAAGTTTAAAAAATAATGCCAACACCTCGCCATGAACATCAAAATTGGAAGCCCTCTAGCCGTAAAGCAACAATTAATTAAAATATTAAGAATTCTCTACCGATTTTGCATAATGAAATTGTAGCCTCTTGTATTCTACGAGTATTACAATGTCTCAAAAAAGCTGTTGTTGTTAACAACATCGCATTCCAAGAGTTTCTCCATTTCTTTTTGTCCTGATAGAGAGAATAGGAAGTTTCATCCTTCTAGGACAACCGGAAAGTTTGTCTGTAAAGTCCTAAAAGTTGAAATCTTTAAAAAGTGTAAAATTTAGAGAATATTTTCAGAAATTTTATTACATACACATGTGCTCAAACTGGTGTATACATGATCTTATAGTCATGTTTACTTACAATATAAACACAAAACAATGTGTTGAAGGATTCAGAAAAGGAATGTAGTGATAAGGTAAAATCATAAATATAATTAATCATAAAAATAAATTTTATTTGACAAGTTTGCCTCTGAAATAATTATTTTTAACTGAGAAAAACGTAATACTCATATCCGTAAACCAAGAGACTGCAACATGGTTAGTTAAAAATTGTCGGGTCAGAGGATCAACAAAAAATCAATAAAAACGTAATTAAATGAGTTAATAAATTACTACAATATATAAGTATTTATATTGCTTATGTATTGTATACATTAGCATACATATAATACACAATAGACTATACTAAAGTACTGCAATTCGAAGAGAAAAAGAGGAGAAAGGCGCTCGAGTATCCCGGGGAGTGAGACGAGGAATTATTTTGCACTTCCTTTAATGGATAACCAATGTGTTGTAAAAACTATTTGCTTTTATGATGAATATGTCTACAAATACTATGAATATTATTACATTATGAATTACATGATAATTAACATGTTATAAAATATAAAAAAAGTGTAATATCAGAAAAATGTTTATAATAGTCGTTTATGCAATTAGTTTATAATGTTAAGCTTTACTGCATGAGTATATGTTTTGAAAACAAGCGACTTTAGGAGCAAGTTTTCAAATTTGTATGAATGCAATAAAGCAACATTATTAAGGGGTTGCATACTATATTTTTTATAACAACATTATACATTTATAAGAGAATCAAACTTAACTGCGAAACACCTTCCCTATGACGACTTGGGTATTTGACATAATGCGAGTAAACGGGGGTCAGCTGTTCCGTTTAGCTCTACCACCCCCCGATTCTCTCGCTACGATTAGCTGAATGTGTGATGATGCAATGATTCGTGACATAAAATCTAATATGTCATCATTTGTGCCGTAAAATGCCCGATTATGAACAATTTCTTGCAACGGAAAAGGTTATTTTATAATCCTTCTTAGAAAACTTGTCACGCGGAGTTTACGGAGTTTCAAGGAAAATTATCATCAGTCAAAAAATTCTCGGAGCAATTTCAAAAGCTGCAAATAAAGTACTGTAAAAAATTAGTAAAATAAGAAGCGGTTATAAAACCTCAAATGGTTCTCAATATAGAGACAAATCTACTTCTTGGTGACAACAGGAAATGTGCTGAGTTTGTCCAACAATACTGTTGGGAGAAATCGAAGCTACATGTTTGGTGCCAAAAGCCTGGTGCATTTTACAAAGACAGGCGTATGTCTACAATACTTTACACGACAAAGATATGCGCTTTAAGAAAACCACTGAAATATGGCACTGATAAAATACACTGTTTGCAGCATTTTGATGTTTTTAAATTTATGAAATATGTTGTTGTTGTTTTTTCTGCGAAATAACCTGAAAAAAATTAATGCATCACAAAGAGTGAACAGTTTGCAGATGTTTAATCCACATCGCAATAGCTTGATATAATGAAAGACCTGGTATATGAGGATGTATTACACAAAATAGGAATACTGATGAGAAAAATGCGTTTTTCCGATTTTCGTACAAAATTAATATTTTGGCGAGGATAGGCAAAATTCGCGAAAGGGTATTGCCGAGTAAGGCGGTGAAAAGTGCCCCCAAACCAAATCGATATTCGCGATACTCATATGCAAGAGAATACACAATGTCGTAGATTCGCAAAAAATCAGCCTCCTAGGGCAATCTGTTGCAAAGATACTACGAGAAACGTGTTTTTCGTGTTTTATTTTTTCTCCGCTTCTATTGCATCTTGCAATAGCACGAATTATTTAATTAAATTTAGATCTTAGATAGCATAAAGGATCATAAGAGAATCGTACAAGTCTCATGTTCGTTAAAATGCCTAAATTTTCGAAAATGTTAAAAAAATTTAAAAATGGCGGCGTCTTCCTGCATTTACAATTGTGAAGATACATTTTTCTCAATGAAATGTGTTCATCAAAAACAGACCGTCAAAAAAAGTCATGTTGAATTTTTTGAAAATGTTATTGTTTTTTTGTAGTTTGTCCCCAAATATAGTCGCCCGGTCCGAATTTACAACGCTTCGTGAACATAATTCCAGGCAGTTGGATGCTTCGTAAGTTAGATTTTGTTCGTTATTTCATAATTCTATGTTCGTTTGTCACAATCGAGCTTTTGTTATACATTTACAAGTTAATATTTTTAAAAAATATTTAAAACTTATTTGAAATATAAAAAATACAGATTGCTAGTTCCCAACAATGACTCGGAAGCTAATTTCTATGAATTACGTCTTATTGTTGGGATATGATTTGCCTATCTGAAAAAGTTATAATAGTCAAATTTGTGCACCAAATGTTCTACGGTTTGAAATTAATTTTACGAAAAATGACGACTGAGATGAGTTACTTCGGAAAGAAAATAAGGCATAAATACTATTACATAACTATTACTAAAGGCGAGAAAGTATGTGCTGTTTTAACAGCACTAGTTTACTTTCTCGCAACGGAGTGGAGAGAAAGTTATGCAAAGTTGCGCGGAAAAATGGCGAATTTTCGGCAGAAAAACTCTTATTACAGGGCCGCGGTAGCGAAAAAGTGGATAAATTCAGTTGCTTAATTGAGAAAAACATCGTCTGTAACGTGGTGTAGATAGAATCCAGGTTTTATGGGTACCGAAAAATACCAAAAAATCGAACGACAGCAAACGTGTCTGGCCGTCCGTCTGAAGAACGTTAGCGGCTAAATAGTTCAGCCGATTTTCTCCAAAATCGATATTCTCCAATCGATCAAGCGGATGTCACGGACTCTTGAATTTGAAACCGATATTTTAATTTTGAGGGGTTCTTTACATGAAGCCCGTAGCACATTTTCTAAATTTTCAAAAAATGACTCCATCATTTTTGATTAAATGTTGTTGTTGAATATTATGAAAGGCGTTTAAGAGAATGATGCAGGTTTCATTTTCCTCAAAAACGCTGATTTTTCGAAAATTGCAAAAGTTCAAATTTGTTTCGGAGACTTCCTACAACTAGTATATTAAAATTGAGACTTTTTCCCTTAATGAAACTGTTCTTTAAAGACAGATATTGAGTCTCACACACATATTGAGTCATGGTCATGCACAATTTTTTGAATATTTGTGATCTTTTCGCGTAATTTTGCGTGAAAATACGAGCGAGAAAGTACGTGCTGTTCTAGAACCACTAATTTTCGATAAACATGGAGGAATGTAGCATATAACGGATTTATATGCATTTATACATGTTGCATTTGTCGCTGATTTTTAGGCCATCCTTTATGCACAGATGTTCTACAGGTACATTAAATCTCCTTTATAGTAAGAGAACATGTGCCGCAGAACACCTGTGCTTAAGAAATTGCCTAAAATCAGGGGGGAAAGGCATGTTTAATTACAGTGTATATACGCATATCAAAGAAGAAAATTTAATACCTTTGCACTTCCATAATCATATTTGCATGTGTTTTAGCAATGGCTTCTTGCATTCCTTGACAAAAACTGTTGATGGTGTGCTTTTCCATTTCCATATTATGTCGTAATTCTTCCAGCAAATTTTTAAACATTAGAAGCCCTTCGCGTACAGAATTCTGGAGATCGCACACAGACTAAACAAAGAAAGAGTATGCATTAGAAACAAGTAGTAGATGATGGTAGAAGATGAAGTCCACTTCCAGAAAAATAGCATACCAATTAGAAAATCTGAAAAATAATTATTAATTCAGCACAAACAACATATCATTTAAAGCACAGAGCGTTAAATATGTTAAGAACATTAAATATTAGTGGCGTAGATTTTGAGGCACCGTGTGGTCTATTCACAATTCAAAGGGATGACTGACAAATCAAGAAGGCGCTTTGTTGAAATACGGTCGTAAAATACCGTTTAAACCGCAAAATACGTGAGGAGTAATATCCAACAACACTGATTAAAGAATTTGATTTCATACATTAAATGTTTTAAACAACAAATGTGATCGAAACATTTCTTCGTATTATCATACATGATTTTGCAAGTACATATCTACTACGCCATCTCTTTGTTCTAGAATATTTTTAAATTAAATGAAAATGTATGCACTAGACCGTCCGAAAATTACAGTCGATTTAGCGACTGGCGCCGTCAAATTGAGCGAAATTTCTGCCATAACAGGAGTGAAGAGCATACGTAGGGTCGACGCTGCCTGAATAGGGGGGAGAGGGAAAATCGGCGAGAGGAGTCTTCCTGGTGTTACTCCCCGATTACGTGTCCTTTCAATCACGAGCCGGCTGGAGAGCGGGGGGGGGGGGGCTCTCATTCAATGGCGATCTTCGTCACGACTTAAAATTTTGGTATGAAGCTCCCGATTGGATGACAGTGTTCTCCTCTTTCTTCAGCTCGTGACCGTGAAGGGACACCGTTTTAAACGAAGTATAGCGCTTGCAGTCTCATCTAGTGCAGTTTCACTAGAG